CCCTCGTGCTGCTCCCTGTGTCTTCCTTGGCTTCCCCCCTGACGCCCCTGGGTGGCAGTTCTACCACCCCACCTCTCGTCGTGTTCTGTCCTCCCAGGACGTCACGTTCGACGAGTCAGAACCCTACTACCGCCTCTTCCCCTACCGCACTCCTTCCCTCCCCCTCCCACCGCACTTCCTTGTGCCAGGTCCCCCCCCCGGTAGACCCCCTCCCCCCTCAGGGTCCTGCCCCTTCAGGTGTGTCCCTTGTAGATGCAGTCGAGCCGGTCGAGGTTGCTGGTGACTCTGGTACTGCTGCAGGTGCTGAGCCTGGGGGTGCTGACTCTGGGAGTGCTGCGCGCGTGGGTGCTGAGCCTGGGGGTGCGGAGTCTGGGGGTGCTGAGCCTGGGGTTCTTCGCCTTGGGGTGCTGCGTCTGGAGCTGGTGAGCCTTGGGGTGCTGAGTCTGGAGCTACTGAGCCTGGGGGTGCGGAGCCTACGGCCGCTGGACTTACTCGTGTGGCGTCTGGCGGTGCCGGGCCTGGTGGTTCTCCGGGTGCTTCATCTCGGCGGGAGCCACTCTCTCCACACGAGCTGCGCGAGTGGTTTGCCCGGCGCTGGAGGCGTACTACTAGAGCTGGTGCTTCTTCGCCTGCTGAAGGTGCTGGTGCCGCTGGTCTCGCAGGTGCTAGTTCTGCGAGTGCTGCTGGAGTCGGAGCTGCTGAGGGTGTTGGCGCTGAGGCTACTGCTGTAAGTCCTGGCGGCGGTCCTGCTGAGGGTGCTACTCGTGCTGCTGGAGGTACTGGACTTGGAGGTGCTGTTGACGCTGGTGCTGCCGCTGGGGGTGCTGGTGCTGTCCCTGCTGTGTTTGGAGTCGCCGTGCGGCCTCGGCCGTACTTTGTTCCGCTCCTTCAGCAGGTTCTTGGTCTTCCTCCTCCCTTAGAGTGTCCACCGCCTGTCCAGTTGCACTCACTGTTACCGCCGGCCTCCCCACTGCCTTCTCCTTCTCCGTACATTGGTCCTACTTGAGGTCTTGCTGAGTGTCGTGAGCCGGCGTCTCGTCCTGCGTTGCGTGTTCGTGCTGCTCGCACTTGTGGTCGCAGTTCGCCTCAACGTCCTCCTCCTGTCCCTGGCACGCACCGGATGTCTCTACATCCGTCCACTGCTCCTCTGCGTGCCCCTTTGCCCTCTCCTCTTGAGTCCTCTCTTCCTGCGCTTGCCGACCTTGAGTCGGACTCTCTTCGTGGTGCCAGTCCTACTATCAAGCGTCTCCTTGCTACTGTCGTCACTGACCCCTCCTTTGAGTCCACTGCTGCGTCTGCTCTTGTTGCTGAGCTCGTTGACTTTGCTGCTCGCTGTCGTCTAGACTACGCTGCTAGCCTTGTCGCTGGGTCTGCGTCTGTGTGTCCTCCGTCCGTCGAGGGTGAGTGTGCTCTTGGCACGGACGTCCTTGAGGACAGGCAGGAGGAGTTCCAGTGTCTGGCTGCTGCTTCACCTTATCTCGCGTCCGTACTGCTTACCCCAAAGGGAGACCCGGATGCACTAGACATCCCGACTCCGCGCTCTTACGTGGAGGGTGTAGAGGGTCCCTACTCCTCTCAGTGGCAGGCTGCTATGGATGCAGACATGGCTTTCTGGAAGTCCACAGGCACCTACGTTGACGCAGTTCCCTCTCCTGGGGCGAACATCGTCAGTGGCATGTGGATCTTCAGGGTGAATTTGCCGCCGGGCTCTCCACTTGTCTTCAAGGCGCAGTACGTGGCTCCTGGCTTCAGACAGCGGCAGGGAGTTGACTACTTTCAGACCTTCTCTCCCACCCCGAAGATGACCACTCTTCGGGTGTTGCTACACATAGCCGCTCAGCGTGACTACGAGCTTCACTCCCTTGACTTCGGTACTGCTTTCCTGCTGGGTAGCCTACACGAGGAGACCTGGTTGCGCCGTCCACCTGGCTTCACTGGGACTTTCCCTCCTGGCACCCAGTGGAGCCTCCGACGGCCAGTCTACGGTCTCCGCCAGGCACCGCGCGAGTGGCACGACACACTGAGGACTACACTTGCGGCTCTTGGGTTTGCTCCCTCTACTGCTGACCCGTCGCTGTTTCTACGCACCGACACCTCTCTGCCGCCGTTCTACATCCTCGTGTACGTCGACGACTTGGTCTTTGCCACAGCTTACACTGCTGGACTCGCCCACGTGAAGCTCGAGCTGCAGAAGAGACACACGTGCACAGACCTGGGTGAACTGCGCAGCTACCTTGGCTTGCAGATCACTCGGGACAGAGCACGCCGCACCATTATCCTGACTCAGTCACACATGGTGCAGCAAGTCCTTCAGCGCTTCGACTTCACGTACTCCTCGCCTTAGGCCACTCCTCTGTCTACTCGCCACTCGCTCTCAGCTCTGCCTTCGGATGAGTCCGTAGAGTCGAGTGGCCCGTACCCAGAGCTTGTTGGCTGCCTCATGTACCTGATGACCTGCACACGACCTGACCTTGCATACCCTCTTAGCATTCTTGCACGCTATGTTGCTCTTGGGAGACACAGACCAGAGCACATGGCTGCAGCGAAGAGGGTGTTGCGCTACTTGTGCAGTACGTTGGGCATGGGGCTAGTGCTTGGAGGGCGGAGTCCAGTGGTCCTCACTGGGCACGCGGACGCTTCTTGGGCAGACGACCAGGCTACGCAGCGGTCGTCACAGGGTTACACCTTCAGCCTTGGTTCCGGCTCTGTTTTGTGGCGGGCTACTCGCTCGTCTTATGTTCTCGGCTCCAGTTGTGATGCTGAGATCTACGCCGGGGCCATGGCTGCACAGGAGCTTCGCTGGCTTACCTACCTGCTGACTGACCTCGGAGAGCCGCCTCGTTCTCCTCCGGTGCTGTACGTAGACAACAAGGCCATGCTAGCCTTGTGTCGGGAGCAGCGCTTGGAGCACAGAACGAAGCACATTGCTCTCCGCTACTTTCTTGCTCGTGAGTTGCAGCAGCGTGGCAAGTTGCGACTTGCGTACGTGGCCTGTGAGGCCAACACTGCTGATGTTTTCACCAAGGCACCTCCGCCTTATGATCATCAGCGCTTTTGCACTCAGCTGGGTCTTGTGCCTGTTTTGCCTCACTTGCTCACCCCTTGACCTTGCTTGTACTCTTACATATATATATACCTGCTCTTGCTTGTTTAGCCTTATATATATATGTGTGTACTCCTGCATGTGAACTGGCCTTGTGGCCTTGAACTTGTGCTCGGACTGTGTGGTGACGTTGTGATCCACCCTGAGCTTTGTCTGCTTTGCTTGAATGGTCTTGTGACCCCTTGTTCTCCCGCACTTTGCCTATGGGGGTGTGTCAAATTATAATATTGTGTAGGCTATAGTGGGGTAGCCTATATGGGGTACACATTTCTAGGGTTGCATATTTGTATCACTTCCATTCCTTAGTCATTCATTCTCGTTCTACTTTCCTCACAGTTGTCTCATTACGGTTAGTCCTAATGTATACTATAATTGTCTCTGCAAATTTGTATTTTTTAATCATTCTAGCCCTGAGTATCTACGTGTCACGACAGTATGGCCACTGTGTATCATTAATGCAATTGTGCAAAATGACAACTCATACTAAGGGGTTGTAGTTATTGCATTTGGATAGCGTCTGATTGGCTTACCCTAAGCAGGAAATCAAAAGGATCGAGAAATGTTAAATAGCAAATCATCTAACTAACTAGACCTTGATTGCGGGTGTAGAGCAAGTTGTGCTCCATGGAATTGAGAAATATGAAAAAAGGGGCAGTGCTGTGTGAGGTTGGTCAACAGCTTTGAGCAAAATTGAAGGAGGGAATGATGAACCGCGGTGCTTTCTTGTCTCCAATTCCAATGGGCAATGGCTTTCCCACTGCCCATGCCGCGCGACCGCGCTCGATTCCCGCGGTTAGATTTCCCCATCAATACTCATCTTGTGGTTTTTTTGCGAGTTTTAAGTTGGGTGACGGTGTCTGCCCGTGGCGACTATTCCAACTGAATTTCGCGCCGAATCATAACGTCGCCCAGGAAGTTTTTGGAACAGTCGGGCCCAATGAGTACAAAGAGATTCATTCCTTCAATCACGGAAGCACTGTACATGTTAAACAGGCGCTCAATTCTCCCGCCACTCACGTTCGTTGCGTGGCCCGTGAACAACACGTGAAACATTTCAAACTGCACTACTTCGCGCGCGTAAAGAATTCACCGACAGATTTTACACTCCCGCCAATGTCGTTGCCCTATGGAGGTCTCACTAACGGCCCGTGAAGCACAGCTGGAGGTCCAAATCTCTGCCAGGATTGAGCGCGCACAGTTTCCCACTGAGGAAATTGTAGGCGCCCCACCTTTACTCCTCGAATCAACTGCTGTTCAGTCTGGTACTCATCAACGTACAGTTGTGGCCTCGTCAAGGCCAGCTTACTCGGTGGGCTTTTCTAAGTTGTTTAAGTATGCTAGTACCTAGCTCTGGCATTAGATGTGACGATATACTTTCAACACCCAGCAGCAACCATGTGAGAACCACCTGAAGGCGCCGAGCGTATAGCGAATAGTATTTTTGAGGCAATGCGTCACGTTCCCCCCATTCCGCCAGCACAACCAAAAGCTCCTAGAGATAATGCCCCATTGAGATAAGGTGGAATATACTCCTCGAGGAATGCGGCACTAAAGGCGGTGCAGGCCTTTGCGATGCACCACCATTTTGGATTCACGACTGTCGAAGTGGCAGACGCCCACGTGATACTGCAATGCAAAACCGCCATGCATGGAGAATCACCCATATGCCCTTGGGAATGCAGTTACAGTAAGATTGTACATGGCGGATTCTGGATGGTGACGTCACTTTCCCCACCTGAAACTCATATATGCAGCAAATTCAAGCGAGAGCAAGGAGCAAACGCCATCGCCAACAGCGTCAAGGTCATGAAGCGGCAATGGGGCAACCTTGTTCGTGGCGCACCGTTTATTGGTGTAGGTCTTGCAACAGCTTCTCTCGTCCCACAGCAAGTTTAGGATGAGTTACAAGCAGGCGTGGCGGCTGCGTGAGGCAATCCAGAAGGAAATGTACGGGGACTGGCAAGAGTCGTTCAGATTGCTCCCGACGTTGGCTGCAAGGTTCCAAGAGAACGATCCAGCTGGAAAGTTCAAGATTCAGAGGGTCAACGGATGCTTTCACCGGATGTACATTCAGCCGTCTGCATCCCGCGGTGCGCTTGGTTTTTGCCGCCCCGTTGTTGCACTAGACGGGACCTTCCTAATTAGTGCTCAACGCGCAACCCTGCTCATTGCCGTGGTCCTCGACGGTAATCAGAAGATTCTGATCCTGGCGTGGGCTCTGGTCGAAGGAGAGAACAAAGATTTGTGGACCTGGTTCCTGCAACACTTTTTGGGGAGCTTCTCGGAGTGGCCGCACCGTCAAGATGCATCCATCATCGGCAATCGCGACAAGGGCCTGGTTCCTGCTGCACGAGATGTACTCCTGGTTGGCATACCTCACTACTTTTGTGCTTGGCATCTCTATGAGAATGTTGTGAAAATCGGAGAGGCTGCTGCTCTTTTCTATTGGCGTCTTGTGAAGTGCAGAGACGTCGACAAATGGGACGCATTGGTTGCAGCATGCCGCCGTGACTTCAAGGAAATGGCGAATTATCTCCTCGGCGTCGAGAAGCCGATCTTGGATCCACCACCGGCAGATGCTGCTGAGCAGCAACGGCCCGCTCCCACTACAGCAGCCGAAGTACGTCAACAAGCAGTAGAGAACTATTGCCAGGGTCGTGAAGCAGCGCGTGCCGCCATGGGTCGTGCCACCACATCATGTGCACATGGGCGTGGGGCGGGTGACACGAGCGAGCTGGGAGCCACAGCGTCCGAACCAGGGCCTGCACCTACTGCAAGCACTTTTGCCCCAACAACTCCATCGGCTGAGCCCCCTACCACAACCGAGTTGCCCAGTCGTCCCTCATGCTTGACTCATGCAGCTTCACGTCCATTCGACTATGCTCTCATCCTGCAACGCGTTAGGACAGGTTACATCCCCAGCAACATCCGGACGGATGCGCCACGTGCAACAGGATCAAGCGGAAACTCGGGCCAGGGTGGAGATGAGCAGTCTAGGGGAAATACCTGCCAGGCATTGGTCATAGTCACTCTGGATCATCCGTGGCCAAATGTCGGTAGTGGCAACCCCCGTGTTAGGGTTGAAGCCGACGCTGAGGAGGACGATGAGGAGGAGGCGGATGCAGAGGAGGCAGAGGCAGATGATGCGGATGACCCAGCCCCAGCAGAGGGGAACAAGGCGGGGGCAGACAAGGACGCCGACGATAACACGCCCGAGGCCGGTGTCGCGGAAGGGAACCATACTACACGCGTGAGGACAGGGTTTAGGCAGATCAAGCGTGGTACGAGGAAGAAGTTGGGCATCAACCTCGTCCACTAGACTCGCATTAAGGCCCCAACCCTTCGCTTTGGGATCTTCACAATCAACGCAGCAGAGCAGGTCAACAGCTCAATCGTGCTCATTCGTCGCTTGCCGTTCACCCCTCTGCTAGGGGGTCTCATAGACTGGTATCGGGATAGGTATTGTGAACGCGAAATGGCTGCGCGGGAGAGAACTGCTCTACTGACGGAAGCGGCAGAGGAGCGGATGGTGTTAAAGGAGACCCGGGCGGAGGGGTACGAGCTATTGGGCGGGGATCTTGAGGAAGGTACCATCCAGACCAGGGACACCGACGATCCCAAGGAGTGGAGGTCCTTCAACGTCAACATCAACATCAAAGTGAGGACATGCAACTGCTCAAACTGGGGCCAGTACCAGTTCCCGTGCTCCCATGCCTTGGTCTTTGCTCTAAGGCGAGAGCTAGACCCTTGCACCCTCGTCTCCGACTTCTACACCACAAAGAACTGGGCGGAGACGTATTCTTCAACGGTGAAGGGTTCCTGTGTGGACTGCATCGTCCTTGGGAGGAAGCTGGCCGCACCAAGTGAGTGCGATGCTCCACCCTTTTGACGCACGGCTGCCGGCCGCCCACCAAGCTACGCACGCGTCGAGAAGGCTGTGCATCCGTACACGTGCAACGTTTGTCATCTGCACGCTCACACTAAGAACCGCTGCATGGGCAAGTATGGTGGCAGCGTATACCCGGAGAAGAGGAGGTACCGTAAGCGCCCCAAGGCCCGAAAGTCCTATCGCGAGTCGGCACCTTTTGCGGGCACTATTTGAGATATGTGGGGATTTACGGTATAGTGTAGCTTCTACATGAGCGAAAGTATTCATTATAGTGGGCGGCTTTACGGGTTAGAGTAGTTTCTTTAGGGTTTAGGCTACAATGGGATAGAGTAGTCGGTATAGTGTAGTCCATAGTATCACCCTTTGTATGATCTTGATTAATGAGAAGAATAAAACCACTTGTGCGCATGTAGAGCATCAAGCGCAAGTCAACCTGTAGTGATATTCCCATGAAGGTTGGCCTGTACCACGATTGGAAACGAATTGATCACAATTAGCACACAAAAACAATGTGGGTTTTGTTGGCCGTCACTATATCGTCAGGACCACCAGAGAAGACATTCACGGCAAGGTCAACATAGCCCTGCTTGCTTTGGGAAAACATTGCCACTTAGTCATTTACCGTGGGCAAGTGACACGCTAGTGTACGGTCCGTCGAGTGTAGTAAATGAGTGCTGCGCGAATGGCTGGTTCCGAGTGCCAGTAGCCGTAGCGACATTAACCACCAGCATGTAGGTGGACCATCACGCGCCAGTGATCCAATGGTGAAAACCCCGAGAAGCTTTGCCTGTACCAAAACTGTTCTGAGCATTCAATAAAAGACAAAAAGGGTTTCAATAGCCGTCATTATGTATCCTCCGAATCTAGTGAGCCAGTACTACACCAGTGCAATGCCCGTAACGTGTACACAAGATGCCCAACCTCTGCGCGCGAATTTGCCCTGCCCGCGATGGAAACTCTGCACCCGTGTATTAGGGTGCCAGCCAGTTGCACCCCATTTACAAGCCCCTCGAGCAATACGGACCACAAAAAGCAAAGTTTGATAGAAGAGACCAACGTCAAACGATCAACAGAGATTTACAAAATCATTTAAAAGCCCTTTTTGCTAGGTGCGAATTGACGGAAACTTAGCAAAATGCAAGCAAAAGTATTCAGCCCTCTTCACAAGGCAACCTTGGGCTAGTCAAACGGGCATCTTGTGTACGAACTGAAGGATGCGCATTTGTCTGGTCATTGAATGGACACCACGTCCAATCATGCACAGGCAGCAATCAATCCGCGGTTAGCTGTGAGCGATAACTTCGCCCAGCACTGTGCAAAACTTCACAAGGCCCTCGCGTTTGACTAGTCAACAATTAGTCGGATGATTGAAAGGGTTTGATAGTGTTTCCACAAGTTACGCAGCCAGGTGAGTTGGCGCAATTTTTGGATGCTGCCGTAACAGTACACTGCTCGTAAAAAACTAGTGGAATGCCCGCGAACAGGGCCCGAGAACATTGCGTAGGGCCGGTTTGGAGAGCGCGTATGAACCCGTCAAGAAGCCGTAAAACCCCAGTCAAAGCATCGGACCAGCACAGCCGGGGGTCAACCACCCCTGTAGATTCGGACGGTGAAGATTAGCTCTTTGAGGATGTGTCGGAAGGATTGCCCTTTGGTGGGTGGGGCTTAGGGTTAAAGTTGAGAATGCTAAAATGTGGATTTTACACTGTAGTTGATTCGCTTGTGGTCAGTACTTGCGATCGAGTACGAGGGTGTGCAATGTTTAGCGGTTTCTATGTTTCACCGCGTTCTACAGCTACGCTCCACTCCAATAGCCTCATGACCTGCCCTAGCATTTTTTTTTTTACCGCTATTGGGACAATGAAGTGAATCTCTAGTAACTGGCCAGTGAAGCACGAACACGTGTTTAGCGACTAATCGGCAGTAATATATTACGAAAAAAAACAATGGGTTATACGACCCTTGTCCCATTGCCCGTTAAAGCTCCTAGCACAATACCGTGTAATGTTTTATAACAGGTGTTAGCAATAACACACCCAGAGATCCCAAACAGCCATATGCTGAGCGCAAGCACACCAAAGACCGATGAGGACCCGTTTTCTACTTTTGGGTCTGTCTCCTTCGCTTTGACTTACGCTGACACCGCGACTGAGACAAGGGATCCGGATCTGTCGACGCCGTATCAGCCGCCCTCCGTCCCTCCATCTTCCTAAGGCATTCAGGCCAAGCATGTGTCCTTAGGACAGTCCTTCAACCTGTCCTTTTCTTTATTAGACAGGCCTATCCCTCTCCCACGGGGTCCATTGTGCGGCCCAAATAGCACATGTGATCCCGCAGCAAGTGATCTCGCGGCTTCTTCCTCATTTCCAAGGTGGCTTCCAATGACGATGTGGCCGTCTTTCCGACGTTTGCAAACTAGTCTAGCAACCCATTGGCCATTCCAGGGCCGTTGAGTAATACCCACGAATCTCCCCTTAATCTCCTTGGCCTTCTGCCGTGAAGACTGCTTCGCGGACTGTCGACGGGGCGGAGAGCCACCACCATCCCCTTCACCACGGTCACCCACAACAATGAGCTCATCATGCAAGAGTGCAGAATCCCCCGGCGACTGCAGCGCGGACACTGCTATGGCCATGTTGTCGCATAGATCACGAGTCTTTGTAATCAGAAGCTTCAAAGCTTCCATGCCACCTTCAACGGATGCAAGGCGGGTCCCTTGACTGCGTAATTCAGCGACCGCCTTTCTCATCGCCGACATGTTGTCTAGGACTGGGTGCACTGCATGGATCACATTGTTGACCAAAGCCGAACGGTCATCTGGCAGAAACGTCACCGTTTTGTTGTGCAAATTGTCCGCTAGCGTACGCTCCCCAGCATCACACATCAAGGATCTAATGGCGCGCCGATACGTCACAATGCTATACGAGGGAGAAGGAATGCCCTGCTCTAGGTTCCTAAAAGACCGTGCGACAAGTTCCCACAAGAACAGGCACACGAATACGCCTGAGTCAACAGTGCAGTCTTGTTGAGGTACCTGACTGGCCTGCACATGTAAACAAGACGAATGTCAACAATATATGGATGGGCGCTCAACCCGACCTACACCTCTTGGAAATATGCAAATAGTGTGCCTTACGCAGGTACACTTACGAGCAATGCCCGGCTGCGGATGCGACAGAGACGATTGGTCACATCGGCAACCTTCAAGACGGGCCTCACTTGTGCCAGCGCCGCACCCAATAGCCTGCAGACTTGTGCTAGATCAAACGTTGACACATCGTCTTAACAGGCTAAGCATGCATAACGCATCATTGGAGGTGTGCGAAGGATTCACCAGTTGATGTGTTGGAAGACGTCGCATGCCATGGCGACGTGGACCCTAGTTGAATCGTAGAGCACAACCTATGGACCCTCAGCCTCTTGTGCGCTAAGCTCTTCATCAGACTTTAAAAGCAACCCAGGGTCCTTCACGACGACCAGGCTTGTGTGCTTTGGGTTAGGGTACCTGCCACACGGGGTCAATATGAGATACATGTGCATGGGTACTTTCCCTAATGATCCAGACATGCTACACAAGCCGTACTCACTTGGATGTTACCACTATGCATACGTAGTCGTATTTGAACAAGGACTCGCTCCCGATGCCGCACATTAAATTCTCACTACACGTCGACTGGTACACCAGGGTTGCCAGTGCAACCCAAGTGCTCCCCGTAGGTAGCAGTGGATGCATGATGCTCAGAAAACTGCGAGAAGAAGGGGAAATATATTAGCACCACAACTACTTTGCCTGTCCACTGCGTACAGAGTCGTATTGACTACTCACGCGCTGTGGAAATCAATGGTTGTTGCTGGAATCTCCCAGCCGTCTCTAATGCCAAGCGCATCAACCATCGTCATGTTGGCGCTCTGCCCAATCTGATTCGTGATCAATAGGGTCGGAAAGTGCTCGCTCGTAGAGTTATAAAGTGCGGTGGTGAAATAATGGTGGTCTCTAATAGGGCATGTGACTGGATGTTGACCAGATGCTAGTGATGTGTCAACGAAATACCTGAAAGGTACCTTCGCGCTTGGCCTTGTAATTCTACTAGTGGGGGTGTTGACCTGAGAGGTGGGAGAGTCGCGTGTCTCTGGTGAGACAAATGACGGGACATTCACCACCTGCTTGTGATGTGACAGCGACAACCATAGTACAGTATCGTTACGATCCAACCTGTCACGACGGCCACCTGGCAACCTCTAATAAGCTCGGGGTCACGCCGATAGCCAATGAGAAGCGTTATGTAGTTGTCATCCCCCTCACGCGGGATTGACAAGGAACATTAAACTTGTACCAGTAGCTATACGGGACAATAGTGGTTATATGCGTTCGGTATAAAATATGTGTAGTGTGCCACAAGCAAAAGCCCTAAACACGCGGTGTAAAATTTATGCGTACTCATCACGGAATAAATTAGCCTTCGCACCAGCGCACCTAATCTACATTTGGATGTTCCGACACAACATGAGTGTTGACACGAGTACCAATGATTGAAACATTGCGGTGCACTCCTAATCGCTGCTAAGTCGTTTCAAACTCCACTGCCTATACATACTAGTGATATCTGCTTGTTTGGCATCCTATTCAATCCAGCGTGAAGATCTAGGGTACAATAGGAATGCCTCAGAAGTGTGTTGACCATCTAGTCCCGAATATAGTCTAGTCAGATAAAGCAGCACGAGCTCGGTTGCTACTGATAGGTGTTTGCCTGGACCTGCATCAATGCTTAATTATGCTTTCCAACTGTTGGGCTAAGAAAAGCCCTTAGGATCCGTACAGGACTAAACTCTGGATAGGGATGATGTAATAGCGGAAGTTTTTAGTGAAGTGTTTGAACCATCTTGCGCTAGTATGTGAGGGCAAAGTAGATTGATTAAAACAAAGGGATACAAGCTTTTATAAGAGTAAAAGGGAGTATGAACAGTTATAACTAATAACTGTTTTGCTGTTGCTGTTGCGG